ACTCTACATTAAGAACAACAGCACCACTACTAAAAAAAAAAACATTTTCATTTTAGAGTTAGCTCCTCAATTTAAATACTTTACCAATTATTTTTGCATAATTGTTAATCTTAGCAAGTTACACGTTGCAACTCAAATCAAAGATATTTTTATAATTTAAATTTATATTATCTGATCTAGGTTACACTTAGTAACTTGCTACTTAGTTAAGCTTACCTGTTTTGAATTAAAAACAAATACCAGAGCAGCACCAGCAGCTGTTACACCCCATGTAAAAAAGGTACCTAAAAGAGTTTGTTGAACCGGTGAAAAGCCCGTAATCATTTTCTGAGTACTCAATAAATATCTACAAACTTACAGATGTAACTACACTAGAATAAAATACCATGATACATGACACTAAATACATATTTCTCAATATTGAGACTGATAAGGATAACTATTCACATTAGTATAAAATTAACTTATGGGATTATCAACAAATCTACAATGTTACTACGTGTTACTATATAAATTCAAAATCATCATTGTAATGTTCGTAGCGCCATCTTATAGAACAGAGCATTGATAAACGTAACTTGACATTATACGCCCAGATAGACCATTTTATTTTTATACACACGTGATGCATCGTTTTATTTCACAATTGCATCCATATACGTAGGTCATATAAAAGTAACTTCACTTAAATCCATCGTCAGATTACGTGATGAGCGTAAGTACTGCATTACCAAAATAACTATGTAAATTGTGATATAAATTCGAAAGTTGAGATGGACCAAGCAGCCCAGTCATCTTTTGTAGAGGATGGCAAGATGGTTGTGGACATCATTATTTTAATAAACAGATTTAGTGCACGTCGGTTTATAACGTAAATTTAAATAGACCAGAGACACTATAGTCCATTGGATCTGCGTCAACCATCTTTCTCATGCAAAAATTTTATAATTTCGAGATATAGTTTATGAATTTGGCTTATGAGCCTTCAGTTTTAAATCGTTATTTATTATTTCGTTATCAGTGCCAAGAGATATACCCAGCTTCATCGCAATGACTTTTTATTCTTCTTTCTTTGAGAGGATTTTTTTCATTACGATATCCGTCATTACTTCAGGTTGTCTTGGGACGTAGTTTCACAGCTATTTGTTATCCTAAATGATCTGTGACTGTAATGGTATTTCAATTCACCCTGTTATGTCATTTCACTATTTACCATTTAGTAGTCTCGCAATACAAAAGGATTTTATACCACAAGTCTACTTGTGATGGCACTGCACTATGATAAACATACCGCACTTGACGTCACGATTCCTATCGCTCATATGCAATTCAACACATTCTTTATAATGAAATAAAATAAGAACTTGAAAAAAATATCTATATAGCATTACCCAATAAAAAAAAGCCTCTTTAATGTTAATTCCAAGATGACGACGATTCAACGCCATATCTTTAAGCTCACCCGAAAAGAATGAATTTATTATTACATGAATAATTAAATATAGCACCAAACGAGTCACTTGATAACTGTTAAAAAGAGGTATCTTAGAGTGCTTCATAGTTATTTTCTTTGAATCATATTTTAAGTGAAAAAACTGATCTATGTAACTAACTTTAAAGATTCAAGTTTTTTGTAACCTCCAAAGTTGAGAGTATTCACGTTTTTATGTATATTTCTAAACAGTGATGTCATCCATACATTTACTTTTAGGCGACGTGGTGTTATGATACCTTTTCTTACTTTACTCTAAACTGCATGAGCAGCAATATGTCCCTCTCCCCACAGTAAAGCTTCCTCGAGAAAGGTAAATACGACATGTGCGCTTGCCAACCAAAACACCTCCTCCAGATATTTTTGATCGAACGCCAAACGCCAAGGACATCAATAACTACACATAAGTACAGTATTTATTTCAAACAATATTTTCATAAAAACGTCAATTTAGGATAAGTTTTTCAATATTTAGTTAGTATCGTGGTAATTAAACATAAAACTTTTCGAAAAGTAGATTACTTTCTACCTCTTTGAACGCCTGTAGCCTCATTTGGCATAGAACACAGGAACAGCTGAAATTTTCTGTCTAAAAATATACCTACTTTCTGAGTTTTCACCTTCTTCTGGATTATTTTAGGTTGCTATAAGTTTTCTTTACGGTCTAGTATACTGAAACATAAATCACCATTAATGTTTTCTTTGTGAGATTTAATACAACTTGTTTAACAGAGTTTTCATATAAAATTCATATAAAGCAAACTTAATTCAAATCGTGTTAACATGAGCGACCGAAGTTTATATTTAAAGTAGAAAAAACGCAAAGCTAAGTAGCTGTCCAATCACGCATGTCTTTGATAATTTCAAAAATAAAAGGAGTGCAATTTTGACAAGGCGATTAGATCTCTATATAATATTTCAACTAAACTTTTAACTTAGATGAGCAGTAGACATTGAAGAATATATTTTAACTTTGTGCAAAAACTACGTCACAACATTTCGTTTATTCCCTTGTCACAACGTTTTTGTACAAGTGATCAGAGTAAATGATTTCATCTTTATCATCACAGTATTACAAGCTAAAAGATGTAGATTATTATTGTTTCCTTTGACTGTAGATCATGTCATAATTCCATGTAAAACACAGTTATAGTAAAATGTTTCGATGTACTGTATTTTCAATATAGATTTACAATGAAGTTAAAAACACCAGGGACAAGTAAGTAGTTTCAATGTGTCATCTCTTCAATATAGATTTATAATGAAGTGAAATACACCAGGGACAGGTAAGTAGTTTCAATGTGCTATCCCTTCAACGTGAATTAACTGTAAACATTTATTTTGCGGTTATTTTCAACAGTTTACTGTCTAAATTTTTATAATATAAACTTATCTCAGAAATTCCTTGACTTTGGTTTTCTACATTTTTTCACCACACAAAAGCCAGTTATGCTAAGCGCTGAAGATGATTATGTTGAATATCTGAGGTGACGCAGAATTTTTGTTTGTTACCACAGTTGCAGTTTTCTACACCCAAAGACTATTTTACACAGTTATATCTAATTTTAATTACATTCAACAGCTTATATGGTGAAAAATCTAAGTTGCTATTTTTTATCTTGTACACTTATATTTGTATTTATGGGTACGCTACTAAGGCTTTCTGCTACCGTCTCTAATTTTGAACTAATTACCAGAAGGAAGGCAGTTAGTCAGCAGCTCCCTAATATCTAATGTTCACATTAATGGATTGACTGTCACTCCTATAACGCACCAATACCCCACAGTGGCTCACTGGTAAGTTTGAGGGATTATAACACTAAAAACTGTGACTCGATACACGTGTTTGGTACAGCACAGATAGCCCATTGCGAAGTTTTGTGTTTAATAACAAATAAACTTAGAGTGCGAGCAATATTTTGTAATATCACGAGTATTCAAGCCTGGTTCACCAGCTCCGAAATTCAGAGTTCTACCTCAGGGACAATCTGCAATCACTACTTTGTATGTATTGAAAAAACTGTGAGTCTTTCAAAGGTAAATTTGAAGATATCTAATGATTATTTCGTGAAATTATAAATTGCGGTACTTAATTGAAATAAAGACCATTTACATTCACGTGCGAAACGTTTGTTGTGATAATAAAGTTATTAATATGAAAGTAATTATCAATATCTGGTGCTATTACAAGACTTAGTTGGTTAGTTTTTGTTAAGTGCAGTGCTACAAAATGAGCTATCTGTACTCTGCCTATCACGGGTATCATAACCCAATTTTTAACGTCGAAAACTTGTAGCTTTACTGTTGAGCCACTGGTAGCTCCAAGCTAGGTAAATATTCTCATCTGTTAATAATTTGTGTAAATAAAAAAATGCACGGTGTTTTTAACTGCCAATTTTTGAAAAGTGTAGATTTAATTTTTTACCTGAATGCGTTTTTACTAATACCATTTTCTTTTTGTCCAGTTTTCACTCTATATGTAATATGATCGTATAAAGTTTGCATCAAGGTCAAAGAAAAATGCCCAAAACACGGATATGGACTTATTTTTGTTGGCTTAACTAAGATATACCTACACGTGGCTACAAAGGAATTTCGTTATCCTTGCATTATCATGAAGGTTCTTAAGGTATATCTTGAAGGTATGTTGAACAAGTCACACCTCAAATGCAGATATTTTGTGAAGAGTAGGTTGCAGGAGGAAGCTACTGACTAACATCAGAAAGAGACATTTGGAGGTTTTCATACACGTTATGAGGAAAGAAGAAATAGAAAGTCTGGTCGTAACTAGAGAGACTGAAGGAAGGAGAAACCATGGAAGACAGAGGTTGACTTATGTCAAGAGTATATCTAAATGGACGAAAGTATCGACATTAGAAATTCTTTGTGCCTCAAGAAAAAGAGAAACATGTGGAAGACCATGGATACTAAAATGTTTGGATACATGTTTGGATACTAAAATAGTTTGAAGAAGGGAGTCTTACGCGTAACATAACACATGGAGGGCAAGGGACCGTTTAGTCTTCTAAAGCTGTTATTACACATCCATTCTTGGGAGAAGTTAAAATATAAACTTCCACTTTTTAGAAAATCATTGATTCCACCCCCTCCCACCCCCTTAAACTTCTATAAATTGTTTTACACTGTTGACTGCAACTCATTCCATAAGTAATAGCCCCCTGTTAAATTGATCCTAGCCTATCTTTCAAAATATTGAAATTGTGTCCTCTTGTTTTATTCTGTTCAATGATCGCACGCAGGGAACTTAGGGCATTAAGGCTCTAAAACCAGAACCGAAGCCAATTCTTGCAATGTCTTCATCCTCGAAGTGAAGACCACGTTTAGAAAAGAAACTTTTTGACCACAAATAAAACTGTGGTAAAGTAAAGCATATTTCTTGGCACTGTTAATTAACAAGGATACAATGTGGACAGATATTCAAAACCAAAGAGTTGTAAGCTTCTGGGCACACTTCAAAATAAGTGACTTTTCTTGAGGAATTGGACTCACAGCAGTACCAATCAATCAGATACTTGTAAGGTCCTCCGAAAACATCCAATGGACTTTTATACTTTTGTTTTGCTTTAATCTTATCGATATTCCTTGGAAGGTTTGTTAAGACTAACTTCGCTGTCCCACGCAGATAGTTGTTATAGTGGAAATTGTGTGTAAACAATACATAAATAATTAGGTGATCGTATAGCCTAATAACCATGACAATGATTGATATCCGCTCAAAGAAATCTCACCATAATTTCTTAGTATGTAATAACTATCATCAGACTGAACGACTTGAGAAAATAGTCCCAAGGATTCTTATAAAGTGTGTGAAGCATGCTAAAATCATTTGTTAATATCCGATATAAAAGGCTCTTATATTGTTAGTGAGCAACTCTGTTTTATATACCAATCAGTGCATTTTGTACAAAGAATAGTCAGTAAATTATGTGTACGGTGTACCTAAACTAATCAGCACATTTTGATTGTATTAGAATGATTAAGAGCTTTAATAATTTATTTGTTAATTTA